AGTTATTTTTCTCACCAGCGTCTCTCTCCAACACTGACAAACTTGTAATTTCTTAACTTAACTAGCTTTTTTACAAATGTCAGATATTTATTGATCTATTTAAAAGGAGAAAAATATTTAAACCTTTTCTACTAATGGACACGCCAAAAGCACTTCCTGAGAATGGATGGTGATTTCTGATGATGGTGATTTCTGAGTTGTGCAGACTAATAACATTATTTCTAACAAATCTTCGTATCTTCTTCAGTAACTCACACGTGACTGTCACCTGTTTTAAATGTCAGCACAAACCGTGAGTGTGCAGGTGGCCCAGAAACAGAAACATCGACTCTGATTAGAACTTCGCAGCGATCACATTCAACAAACGAGCTTTTGGATAACAGATGATCAAATCTGTGACCTCCTTATATGATTTATAATTACACGAGGATCATCCCAGTGCCTGAGAGCAACACGTCCAAGTATGTGATGAAACACATCAAATGTGTATTATGCAGAAATATTCAATAACATTAAGTGGAGAAGTGAACATTTAGGGGGGGGGGCAGGTTACAGTAGATCTACAGACACATTTAGAGTGGAAATCAATCACAGCAGTGTTTCACTGGATGATTACAGAGACTTCAAGTCGAGGATGCGTTTGCTGCAGTGTGAATGCTGAGAGCTGAAACGTTCAACGAGCTGAATCAAATGTTTCAGCTGAAGGTGCAGAACTGCTGAAAGCTGAAGCGTCAAAGCTGGAAAGTAGCTGAACATCTTTAAAATGTACATCAGAAAAAGACGACTAATGATAACATGAACTTATCAAGAATCTCAAACCATCAGTGACTTTGTTCCTCCTCTTCTGTGCCGCGTGGACGAGGAAGCTGATGTTTAGGTGCTGGGAGATGGTGGTTCCCAGAAACTGGTTTACTGTGTCCACTGGGCATGAAGATCACATGTGGTGGTTTCAGCCTGAAGCCCACCATCATCTCCAGCTGGAGGCGGTTGATGACTTTAGCTCCACTTTACTCCCATCATCCCAGCTGTGCTGTGACACCAGCTCTCCCAGCTGAACGTCACTCGTTGTTTATTTCACCAAACATTCAGCGATTATAAAAACTCACTCCAGAATTGAGCTGTGAGCGTTTACATGTGGAAAATATTCTTTCAGCATAGATGCAGAAACACTGATGAGGGGAAAGTGTCAGCACCAGTTTGGAGTTGTCAGAGTTTCTCTTTCTTCCTGGTTTGATCGTCTCTGCAGCATCACTTCACTGAGCAGCTGTGGAGTTTCCTGAAAAACACTTTTGCGGTTACCGGTTATAAAATCTGACTTTTGGGGATTTCACAGGAATCCGGGAGCTTTGCAGCTCTCGCCTTATAAGGCAGGGCTGAGCGCGTGCTCCGTGCCTGTCCACGGGCTGCACGAGTGACCTGGAAGACAAACACGCAGAGGCGGAGGACACACACACACACGCACACAGACACACAGCTCTGTCCGCTGCGCTGTTGGTGAGTACCTCTCTTCTGTCATACAAACACAAAACACGAGGAACAGCACAGAGAACACGCGTGGAACATTTCACGCTGCTAAGCTAAGCTCGCGCAACCTGAGTGTCACGTGACTCGTAACTCCGTCTGTGTCTTCCCCCCGCAGCGGCTCGCTCACCCACGCAGGCCGAACATGGAGGCTTCGTTTGCAGGTAAACGGGCTCTGGTCACCGGAGCAGGGAAAGGTAAAGGACACACGCATGCGCACGCACGCACGCACAGCGACACCAGCAGGCTGCTTTATGAACAACACCCACCTTCGTGCAAATAGTCACGGGACCGAGACTAACTCTCCTCTCATGAAACTGTTTGTTTTTAAACGAATCAACGCTTAATGTGAAGTTTCACGTGATTTCCGCTTGAGCTCGATTTACAAACAAGTTTCTGAACAGAACATTAAATGTCAGCAGTGATGCTGATTTACACCCAAACACAAAACAACCATCGTAGCTCCTGGTGTGGCCCCGAACGGAGGCTGCTGTATAAACGTGTCCTTCACATACATCAACACTAACACGTCCTTCTGTCGGCTTCCAGCCGCGTTACAGACAGTGAGACGGTGCTGATGGAAGCGATGAAGTTACTGATTACTGTGAACTCAGCAGTGCTGGAGGAATCTGATGACACGGCACGCAGCCTGAGCCAGTGTCATCAGTGAGAAAGTGGAATAACAGGAGCTTTGTTGGTGGAACGAAGCCTAAGACATGTGTGGAATGTGTGTGTGAGAGTGTGTGTGTGTGTGAGAGTGTGTGTGAGTGTGTGTGAGAGTGTGTGAGAGTGTGTGTGTGTGAGAATGTGTGAGAGTGTGTCCACTCTAATCAGTCTTTGTGTTTATGGATTCCTGTGTCCCAGGGATTGGTAGGGCCACCGCTCTGGCTCTGGCACGCTGCGGGGCAAAGGTCATAGCGGTCACACGAACACAGGCCGATCTCAACAGCCTGGTGGAGGAGGTGATCACCCCACACGCACACCCATCTGAGGGGCCCCAGCCCTGACCTTTGACCTTTGACCCACACAGTGGACTGTCAATCAGCATAAAACACATCTCAGGCCACCTCTTAAAAATGACACGTATAAAAACCAACCACGTGTAAATGCACCGTTAGGGAGCCGACAGCGAGGAGCTGGAGAGGCGTGTGGGTCTGGTATCATCGTAGGGTCGACCTTACAATATAAAGCACTTTGAGCTGACTGATGCTGTGATTCAGTGCTGAATAAATAAAATGTCCAAGAAGAGTCCAAAAAAAATACATTATTAAAATTATATATATGGATTATAAAAGCACAGAATTAACAAATATTTAGGAACCTTTATAAAGCCTCTTTTAAAAAAAAGTCCTAGTTCAGTTCAGTTTTATTTATAAATCACAACAGTCGTCTCAAGGTGCTTTATATTATTCAATTCAATTCAATTTTATTTATATAGCGCCAAATCACAACAAAAGTCGCCTCAAGGCGCTTCATAGATACAGAGAAAAACCCAACAATCATATGACCCCCTATGAGCAGCACTTTGGCAACAGTGGGAAGGAAAAACTCCCTTTTAACAGGAAGAAACCTCCAGCAGAACCAGGCTCAGGGAGGGGCGGGGCCATCTGCTGTGATTGGTTGGGGTGAGAGAAGAAAGACAGGATAAAGACATGCTGTGGAAAAGAGTGTCATATCTTTAAAAAACAGTTACATATAAAAATCCTCTTTTTGCAGAGACTTGACGTCACGTTTAGCTTTAGCTTTAGCTCTGTGCCTGGAAGACGTCAGAAACCATCACAGCTGTTTCTGTCAGCTCTCTGATGGAGCGTCTGTGATGCACAGACAAACCTGAGAGACTTTAATCGACTCTTTGCCCACAGCTTTGATCTGCACAGTGAAATTTCTTCTTTAAATCTTATTAATAACTCATCCAAACCTTTCCTGACTGTCATTATATCAAACAGATTTCAATCAGCTGACGGCAGCTGACGACTTTAAAAGCTGTTTAATGTAGTTTTCACTTGAAGTAGAATCTGCAGTATGTTCGTCATGCAAAACTACAATAATGGAGAAATTATTTCAATCTGCACGGCTAACATGAAGCATTAGCACAGCTGCTGTAACCTCGTCAGAGTTGTGACTGATTCAGTTCTGTTCTCATTATAAATATTTGATGTCTCTTGTCTTCTAATCCGAGTCGTCTGCTTTTGACTTGCTGTCACAGTGCGCCTCCATCACCCCGGTGTGTGTGGACCTCACAGACTGGGGGGCCACGGAGCAGGCCCTGCAGGATGTCGGCCCTGTCGACCTGCTGGTCAATAACGCTGCCTGCGCCAACCTACAGCCATTTCTGGAAGTCACACCTGACAAGTTTGAGCAGTAAAGCAAATATTCTCAACTTTCATATTTGTTGCTGAGGAAGTGCAGCCGTAAGGACGCAGCACAGGCCTGTGAGCCGGAGCCTCATCATGTGCTAACCTGTCACGTTTGTTTGTCTTCCAGGGCTTTCAGTGTGAATGTGAAAGCTGTGGTGCAGGTTTCTCAGGTAAAACGAACACGGCTGCTTTATTAAACCACGGTGTGGGAAATGCGTTGCTTTGAAGTCCAGCTGTGAATGAACCCGACACAATGAGTGTTGGACAAGCTGCTTTAGAAAACGTGTGATTGGGACTTACAGTAAAACAGTGTTTTTTACCTCGATATTAAGAAATGTCGTGTAGATCTGGAAACTCCGGCTCTATATCTGTGCTTTGCCTGTGCAAAAATCTGTGCTTAAAAATGAGCAGATGACATTTTGTTGCATGAATTGTTTGACGCTGATGTTATCGGTTAAGTTTTGGAAAGTTTCTATAACAAAGCTCGATGCAGATGAGCCGTTCGGTTGACCCGGCTCATTCATCCAACTGCTTCTGAAATGAGACAAAGCTCCGTCTGTTGGCAGTTAGTGGCTCGTGGTATGAAGGCCCGGGGATCGGGAGGCTCCATTGTTAACGTGTCCAGCCAGGCATCGCAGTGCGCCCTCAGAGAGCACGCCGTCTACTGTGAGGAACACATTAACAACATTTAAATGAAGAAGCCCAGTGAGGGTAACAAACTGAGCTTCTGTTTCTGCTCTGTGCTCAGGTGCTACCAAAGCAGCTCTGGACATGCTGAGTAAGGTGATGGCTTTAGAGCTGGGACCCCATCAGGTACATCGCTGTTTCACACGTGCAGCTTCCACCTCACAGTTACTAATGCTAACGTGGTTAGCTCAGGTGCATCTTTGTGAAAGCATTAACTGAGTCAGTGATGTCACAGTGTTAGCATTCAGTTCGTGCTGTTTATTTCTAAATGATCAGGAAATACGGGGAAAACAATATATATGCAAGAAACTGTCCAGGAAATGATTTAATGTGAATATTAATTATTCCTTGACATGATGTGTGCCTCACGTCATGTAAGGTGTTGAAAAGCATTGGAGTACTTTGATGAGACCTGACAGTGCAACACTGCATGCACACACCAATGCCAGCACAGCTCACTGTGAAACACCTTCTGCAAACTCACGTAGCCTGGTGTAGTGTTGAGAGAGAGAGCAGCAGATTCATAATCACACGACATCAAAACACAGGATGTGTTCAAATCCCAGGAGAGACCCTAAGTGACCCTTCGCTCTCTGAGGACGACAGGCCTGAAAGCACAGTGTGATATGTGCAACATAGTGAAGCAGTTGTGTAAAAAGTTGCTGGTGTCAGTGGTGTCGGTGGTGTCGGTGGTGTCAGTGGTGTCGATGGTGTCGATGGTGTCGGTGGTGTCGGTGGTGTCGGTGGTGTCGGTGGTGTTGGTGGTGTCAGTGGTGTCAGTGGTGTCAGTGGTGTCGATGGTGTCGGCACCAACCTGAGACCAAAGTCCACACAGAGTTTTGTAGAGGCTGCATCTAAACTGAATCAGTTCCTGTGAACTCAACGATTACTGGGAGCAAACAATAAGACAGCAGCCAACACTAAATGAGCCGGTGTTTTAAAGCATGTGTGAGGTTTCCTACAGTGGCTTTAGGATGTTACTTTACTTACTGCTGCCTGTCCGGCTGCTAACATGAAGAAAAGTATTGGACAGTGGGATCAGGGTCGCCTGAACAAAGACTGGCTCTGACGTCTTTTCGCTGACTCGATTAACTCAGGTGTCGTCTTGTGTTCAGATCCGTGTGAACACCGTGAACCCCACAGTGGTGATGACGGACATGGGTCGCTTGGGCTGGAGCGATCCTGAAAAAGCCAAGAGCATGAAGTCCCGGATCCCCCTGGGCCGCTTCGCAGGTCAGTTGCAGCAGTCTTGGTCAGGTAGAACAGGGAGACGCGTCTTAGATCACATCACTGTTTGTGTTCAGCTCCTGCATGCATGGAACTCTACCTAATGTGAGAGCAGTGTTACCCACAGACAGGTCACGAGTCCACAGAGTGAGATCAGTTTGCATGATGAGGGTTAGGGACATAACACCGATAGACTCAGTCCTGCCCTCTGGTCTGCACACGTGGTGTCAGGGTTAGCTCTGTAAAGCTGAGTGTGGTGTGTGTGTCTGTGTGCAGAGGTGGAGGAGGTTGTGAACAGCATTTTATTCCTGCTGAGTGAAAAGAGCAGCATGATTAATGGAGTCACTCTGCCGGTGGATGGAGGCTTCCTGGCCTGCTGACCCACATCAGCCC